CCCACCATCACCTCCAAACTTTTCCCACCATCACCTCCAAACCTGCCCCACCATCACCTCCAAACCTGCCCCACCATCACCTCCAAACCTGCCCCACCATCACCTCCAAACCTGCCCCACCATCACCTCCAAACCTGCCCCACCATCACCTCCAAACCTGCCCCACCATCACCTCCAAACCTGCCCCACCATCACCTCCAAACCTGCCCCACCATCACCTCCAAACCTGCCCCACCATCACCTCCAAACCTGCCCCACCATCACCTCCAAACCTGCCCCACCATCACCTCCAAACCTGCCCCACCATCACCTCCAAACCTGCCCCACCATCACCTCCAAACCTGCCCCACCATCACCTCCAAACCTGCCCCACCATCACCTCCAAACCTGCCCCACCATCACCTCCAAACCTGCCCCACCATCACCTCCAAACCTGCCCCACCATCACCTCCAAACCTGCCCCACCATCACCTCCAAACCTGCCCCACCATCACCTCCAAACCTGCCCCACCATCACCTCCAAACCTGCCCCACCATCACCTCCAAACCTTTCTCACCATCACCTCCAGGCCACTCCAGCACCCTGTCCCCACCCCTGGCACAGCAGGATGTGACCCTCTCCAAGGTATCCAGAGCCACCCCAAGCTCTGCTCCCACCACCCCAGCAGGTCCAGGTGCTCCTGGAGAGGTGAAGCTGATGGACCAGCCAAACTCAAGACAGGGTTTTCCACCATATCTCAGGGATTCCAGGCACCAGGCCCTGGATGGAACACCCCTTGGCCACCACCATCCCGTGACCAGTGGCCACACTGGGGCCTGCCCCCAGATCAGGGGTCTGGGGACCCTGGGACCATCCAGCTCCTGAGGGCAAAGCCAGAGCTGGGAATGAGGGTCAATCCATTCAGAGGGAGAACAGGGCACACATTGCCAGGGGAGAACAGGGTACACATTGCCAGGAGAACAGGGGACACATTCCCAAGGGCAGCAACCAAAGAGCCACGGGAAGGGCAGCAGAAGGTTCTGGTGGGCCCAGCCCTTCCATCACAAGCAGGTGACAGGGCAGGGGTGACAGGGACCTTTGCCCAGGGCAGAGCAGGGGATGGTTTGTTCCACCACCATCCCTGGGGTGATCTCTGCACCCAGACCAGGGCTCAGCTCCAGCCAACGATGACCTTCCATCTTTCTCCATACCAAGCTGGCCAAACTTCCTCCCCAGCAAAGAGGTTGTGGTGGTGGTAGGGGGGGAACAATTCCCATCCTGGAAGTTCTCCCAGCTGAATTTCTAAACCAAATCCCAGGGGTCTCTGGAGCTCCTCGTCCTCCTGTCCCACCTCAGCTCCGGTGCCAGCAGAACAACTTGGCCTCTCCAGCAGGGAAGAAAGGGATTTTTTTTTTGGGTTTGCATCCTGCTGGTTTGCCTGGCAGGGTGAGGAAAAGCCGGTTCAGCAGCCCAGGGAGCTCAGGGGGAGGTTGGGGTTGGATTCCTTGTCTCCAGGAGGAGAAGCAGCTTCACCTTCCCGAGCCCGCGGGACGCCGAGCAGAGCCCAGGGCTGGGAGAGGGAGCCAGACACATGCAAACCAGGAGGAAAACTCCCTCTTCTTTAAGAGTGAGGTGATTAACCAGCAAAACAAAGTCCCCAGGGGAGGAGAGGATTTGCCATCTCTTGGCTTCTTCAAGTCCAGACTGGATGGTTCCTTGGGATGGGGCTGGAGAACTTCACAGGGTTCCAAGGAGATGGGGCTGTGGGATGGTCAGCAAAGCTGCTGCCACCTTCTCTCAATGCCTTTGAGGGCAGAAACCACCAACATTTGCATCCAAATGCTGCAAAGGAGAGATCCAAGCATTTCCAGACCAGAAAACTTGCTGATTCCCACCAGCTCCAGGGCAATCTTCACTCCAGAGGGAAATCTTCTCCTTCCTTCTCAGCCAGGGCAGCACCAGCCCACACCTCCTGAGCACCAAGAGCCAGAGCCAGTGTTTGCTGGAATCAAACCTGCCCTGAGCAAAGGGCAGGGGAAGAAACCAGTGGCTGGACAACTCATCTCCTGGCCAAACAGGGTCGGGATCCCACCAGCTGCCCTGGCAGTGGGGGGTGGGATCAGACAGAACCCACCTGCTCCTGTGCCAGAGCTCAGGGATTGATTCCCCTGCTGCTCCAAATCCAGCTCAAGGGGAAGGAAAGTCCAGCACCAAGTCAGGATGCTCCAAGGTGGGTACAAGAGGGGGTGTGAGCACAGCCTGTCCCACCCCAGCAGCAAGGAGAAGGAAAGATCAGCCACATCTGGGCTGACAAGCACCACAAGGACTGGGAAACTGAGTCACAGAGCAAGCCTGGGGGATCCTTGTCCATGATTCCACCACTGTTTATCCTCCAAAAAACCAGCCCTGGGAGCAGAGCTCTGCTCGTGGCTGAGATGGGGAAACTGAGGCACACCTCAAGCTGGCTTCTGTAATCACATGAGCTGTTTCTCACCAGGCAGAAAACCCAACGTGAGCCTCAATCCAGAACTTCTGGGCTGTCCTTGACACTGATGGGGGGG